GACTGAGAGGCTAAGGACAGAACAAGTTGGAGATCAAGCAGAAGAAATGTGCAGCAAACCCCTTGGAGTAGGTAGGAATCCTAGGAGCCAGCTCATTTCTCCAGGCCTGATCTACCAACAACAATGTGGGCTGTAAGGTTAACCACCTCTGACCTTTCTATATTCCAGGTTTCCTGGTGGTTTAGAAATCAAAGTTGGACGTAACCAATATTCCTCATGAAAGAAGATGATGGCACATATTTTCATTTTTTTCTTGGAAGTTACATTCTAAGAAGGAAGACAAAAACAGCTTAGGCAAATCATCTCTGTTCACATTCTCGTGTTTGGGGCTAGACAGAAAGGTGCCCAAAGAGTCTGAATCATTTAGTTTGAACTCAGTGTTCCCTTTCAGGGACAACATTCAAGCTAATTTTAAGAATTAACATTAGTTTTCATTTAAATAGTCTTTTCAAAGTAATGAATAGCTAGTTCACAGGTGATTATCAACTCATTATAACTTACACTTTGATAGTAATTTGGAAATCAAGAATTTTCAGCAAAAATCCATTTTGTGAGAGAAGTTGGGGTCTGTAATTTAATCAGGGGTGGGGAAACTCCATCCACCCATGTAAGCAGCAACTCCTCGTACCTTCTTACAGTCTTCCAGGGTAATCTGAATCCTGGGAAGGAAAGTGATCTGTCCACAACCATACAGCTGGTGCACTTCAGAGTCTGAACTCGAATCTGTGTCTTCAGAATTCCAAGAACAGATCCTCTAACTACTAAGCCTCATTCTCTATCCAAAAAAGGCCTGTATGACTGCTCCATGAACTGGCATTCTATCCCTCATCCCTAGGCCTTCACAGAAGACCTGACAGGCCTGGCATCAGAACGCACGTCTTCGCTAAAGGCTCAGCTCAGGGGATCTCCATTTTCAGTGTTAGTTACTTTGTATTTATGTGTGCACACAAGTTGCAATCCTCCCATTTCATACACTTCTTTCATGAAGTCATTCATTTCCTTCAAAGACTTGTTTCTTTTTTGGTTGTGTATCCCAAGGTTAGCGCGAGGTAGCTGCTCAATGAAGGTGCTTGGAATGGAATTAAAACTTTTATAGGACCTACACATTGACAATCTTTTCTGAGCCAGTAGCTACAGGATGATCCAATAACTTCTTCCTTGGCCCCACAAGAACAGGCAGGGATAACCCGCTGGTCTGGGGTCACAGCCCTTGGGTCTAAGTCAGGACACTTGGCAACTAGGTAAGCATCACAGCACATGAGCTTTCAGGAGCCCTGCCTAGTCTACTCACAGGAGTTCTGGATGCACATCAAACCCTGGCCAGAGCCTAAATAACAACGGGACCTATGTACATCCTCACGCAGCCGCACCTCCCTTGTCTCCAACTACAACATCCATGGCATCCTGATATCACCATAAGCGGATTTTCACACCCTTCATTCCTAATGTAATCAGGAAACTAAATTTCCCCAGAGATCTTATTGTCCAAAAGAACAACAACAGAACACGGCTGCAGAGCTCTCAAATTAGACTCCTCTACAGTTTCTTTTGCACTGAAGCACAAAGTAGTCTGTTACTGAGGAGGTACTTCAGTCTAGATCTACTCTTCAATTATTTGGCTGTTGCATGGCATGGCCTGGTAAGAAGGGGAGAATGCCAGTGAAGAAGTCTAGCAATCATTCATTCTTCCCAACAAAGCAAGAGATATTTTCCAAATTTTGCCAGTATTAAGCTTCTCACAGCTTGACATATATTAATTTTCCCTCCCTTCCTCACTTAATAGGCAAAGGCCAAATTTCATTTTACTGACGTTCTCTGCTCAAGGTTAATATTGGCCCCTGGCCAATTTTTGTTCATAATTTTCCTGGTAGGACAGCTTCATAAATCCAGTAAAAACATGACCCTACTTCCCCCCACCCCCGCCCCAAATTTTTATATGCTGATGTTAATTCCCCTATGTATTAAGTACTAATTCTTGGAATGTTTTGCCAAAGTAAATATTATTTGCTCAACAGTTAAAGACCAATTCGGTCTGTCTCTCCCATACACGACCAATTAAGCATTTATCTTAAGGGTTACCTTCAGGAAAGCGTTCTTGTCAGTTTCTCTTGATGGTATTAATGTCTACTCTAAAGTACAGTCAAGTAGTAAAACTCTTGTTATGGGATTCCTTTCCTCTCACCATACAAAACTTGTACTCGCTGTTTCCCTTCGTGACGTATATGATCTCACATAATACAAGAAAATATAGAGCATACACCATGTTTTTTTACTTTAACAAATATATTTTATCTTTTTTATTCTCTCTGAAGAGCTGTCTTTATCAGAAAACCATCTGGTTAAAAAGGACACAAGACAAAAGTTAAAGGGAGTGGAACTTGGGACAAACCTGGGACACAGAACAAAAGGATTTTTTGCTTAATTCATTTGCTCCCATCCTGTTAAATGCTAAGGGTTTTATGCAATATTTTACCCTTTATTCTGTAGATCTGTTTATTTGTTGTTGATGGTTATTTGGTTTATCATCATTTTTTTAATTTGGAATCATTTTTGCCAATTTTAGCGAGTCAAGACTAGATTAAAAACCAGACGACCCATGTTCAGCCACCTAGCTTCTTACCTTGCTATTTCTATTCTCAGATACCACAGATTTTTCAAGACTCAAGCAGCCTACTTTTTAAAAAGAAAGTATCTAGAAGCTATTACCAATAAGATGACAACAATGAATTTCAGATACTTAACTTTAGGTGCTAATATTAGCAGGTAAACTAGAGTGGGATATTTGGGGGAAATGAGCAGTTTTGCTGATTGTAGAATGTGAGCTTTCACGATTCATGTTACTTTTTTTTTCTTTGAATTAGTAGCAAAAGTCTATATCAGCATCATATAAATATACTACTGAATTAAATCTTTCATATCAGATGCACAAGAAAAGCCCTAATTACTATATGCCTTTAAACAAAACTCATGGAAATTTTTGCCAACTAAGAGTATTATTAATACCACCCAAAATTTAAGTGAAACAATGAATCAGAACACATAAAAGGCTGAACCTGGGGTAAAGAAGACCTGAGTTCAAATTCTATCTCTGACAATTAGTTGTGTAACCAGGGGAAAAATCATTTAACCTTTCTTAGCCTCAGCTTACTTATCTGTAAAATGAGGATAGTAATATATGCAGTACCTATCTTAAATAAGATCACTTATGTCAAAAAACTGGCAAATCTGTAGATAACTGCTATAGAAATATCAGTCACATCATCATCATATCACAATAACTGCCTTCTGACAAAAGCACAATTCGGCAAACAAATCAGCCTAGATGCATCATAAATTTATTATTAAAACCACCCTATAGTTTGGTCATATGTAAAAAGAACCATAAATTGTCCACAACCTTATCCTGATCATTCCCATAGGAATAATCCAAGGAAAAAATAACGTGTATGAAGATGCTTGTAACAATACTATTTATTAAAAAGAAAAATTTGGAAATTACTGAAATGCTCCAAGAACAAGAGAACAGCTAACCAAATATACTAATATGATGGCATACCAGAGAGCTCTTTGAATTAATGCATCAACACGTGAAAGGCATACATAAGGTATTAGTTTAAAAAAAAAAAGCAAAAATATGTACACATGTGATTCTATTTTGTACAGTTACATTTCTGGAGTTATAGATCTGACAGAAATGTAGGGAGAAAACGACTTAGTTTGTAGAAATGTAGAGAGAAAATATAAATAAAATTTAATGTTTATTACTTAAAATTTTTGCTTTCCAGTTAAGTTAATAAGAAATTAATTTAGGATTAACTTGTTATAAATTCTCCTCAAGAGTTTTGGGTCTGGCCCTGTGAACATTCTGAAAAGCTGAATTTCTGAAAGATGATCAGCTCGCTTTGTTCTACATCCACCCCCAATTCTGAGGGCTACCTCAATCATTATCACCTTTCTTCTAACTTCACTCGGGCCTTTATTGTAGCAAGCAGTACCTTTACTACTCCCTAACCAATTCCCTATCTCATTCCCCACAGAATGTATTCCAAACCCTTTCTTCCCTTAAGTCTCCCACATATCTCTTGTGGCCCTCACAAAAAACTGATTATCCACTGATTGTGCAATGGCTGAAAAAATTTGTGGTTTATGAACAAAATTGAAAACTATTTCATTGCAAGAGGCAGAGGGATTCCAAGAAGGATGGGAAACTATATACTGATGCAAGCAAAGAAAGGAGAAATAGGAAAAGAGCAGTATACATGATTTCAACAGTATATTCAAAGACAACGAAAAAAGCCCAATCATCTAAAAGATCCTGAATAACTCTCAGAGCCAGAGCACAAAAGATATAGAAAGGGGGGCAATACTGCATATTTTCTCAGATATATGCTGCTACACTAACGGGCCTTACTTAACTGTTTTTCTGTTACAAGGGGACAGTTCAATGGATGTGGATTATACAGCAAAAAGATGGTAGTGTAAAAACAATAACAGATAAAACTTTTTAAAAATTCACATAAAACTTTAGGTTTCTTGAACACACTGAAGTTTTAAACACCCTCCCAAACCAACTCATCTTCAAGCTAAGCCATTAAAATTTGAGGTAAATCAAGACTGTAAATTTTTTTTAAGGAAAAATTTTTTAAAAGGGATTCCTAACTAAAACCTGTATTTGAAGCTGCGATAATGTTTTAAAAAATGAATTTTCTTTCATGTTATCCCTTTGTTTACATGCTTCAGCCTGTCACCCTAAAAATAAGCAGCGAGAATATCATGATGGAGAAAAGGTGGGCGAACTCCCTTCCGGTAATGAGCATGCCTCCCCTGAAGTAGCATCTTCTTCAGGTTATTCACTCCTGGGTTCCCTTACCTCACCTCAATGAGCACTTTACTTCAACTATCTTACTCAGTAGTAGTGTTTATTGCAAAATAAACAGTCCATTTCAGTAATAAAATGGCAATCACTTTAGCAGAAAATTTAATACTGGAAGAGACTATACCTTTGCAAATTTGAAAAATGGTCTTGGATCCTTTCTGAAATACTCGATATCAAACATTGCTTGAGGATCGGGGAGGTCAGGGAAATCTACTGCCAGGCGTGCATAAATACCATCTCTTGATCTGAAGTCAGGTATTCCACAGGAAACAGATACCTGGAACGTAACATGCATGGTATAATTTCTATAATTAGACATTCTAGCTCTATAATTAGTTTGTTCTTACCACACAAGTAGACATAAACAAGCAAAGGAAAGGAATTGTAGTTTGATTTTCCTTTTAGGGGATAGCACTATGGGCTAACTATAATTTTGAAGTGAAAAAAACCAAAGATGCTTACCAGATGCCAGCTTACTTCCTTATGCCTACGCAGAGATAGAGAAGGTGGCTTGAGACAAGCAAACTGAGTCATTCTAAAGCTTTGGACCACAATATATGAGTAATTCGGATCCAATATCGGCCAAGAAAATGAAAGGAACTTCCTCTACAATAATCTGTTAAAGGAAACAAGGGTCTTTGGGGCTCGAGGGAAATTCTAGCAAAGCAAAGTCTGGACCCCCTTCCCAAGAATGAAATCATTTGCTTGGATTATAGAGAACGTCACAAAAGTTATCTGGCCTTTATTTTAGAAATACATATACATCTATATTTTACAATAAAAGTTTAGAAATCGATATACAGTAAGGATAAAAAGCCTTGGAAATATGGCTGTTTGTAATAAGGCATTTTTGACGCTACTTTAGTGACATTTGTTGGCAGGGTGGATCCTGCTTGGCCTCTAATCAGTAAAACGGCATCCCTTTGGAGTTTCACAATCACTTCCTGGATGCTTTTGCCAGACAAGTTGCAAACAGGATTTTCGTTTCTTGCCTCTGTTACTTTGCAACATTTTTGCAATAAACACAAATACATTGGTCCAAAGAAAGGAATGGAATCCTGGACTCTTGAGGCTGAAAGGGGCCTGGGGGCTCCTCCACCAGGCCAATGCTGGATGCCCGAAAGAGGATCCCCACTCCCCCACTGACAAGTGGTCTTCAGAGAGGGAGCACCCAATACCTGCCAGGGTGGCCCACATCACATGGCGGGGGGGAGGTGCTCTAACACTTAGAGAGTTACTCTTCACTTCTAGGCCATTTGCCCCAGTTCCACCCTCTGGGATCAAGTGCAATGAGTTTAAGCCTTCTTAACCAGGACAGCCCCACAAGCACTTGGCCCTCGGGCCTTTTCTTTTTCAGGATAAACACTTCCATTCTGACTGTCCTTCTCGAGATATTCTCTAGCTTGTAGGTCTCCAGCCGAGGTCTCCCCAAGGCACACACACAGTGGAATGATGGCCTTGTAGACTGACAGGTCACACTGTTGACTCTTCATCAGCCTGCAGCCCCAGCCCAGCTTTTTCAGATAAACTACTCTCCAGCACAGAGCTCTCATCCTTCATCTGCAGTTGAGTTTTGAACCCAATTTTAAGACAACATTTATCAGCACGCAAGATCCTGCCCCATGTTCTCACTTGTCAATATCATTTAGAAACTTGACTGTCATCCCATGTGTTAGCTGTCCTTCCCAGATTTATGTCACTTGCAAATGCTGATCCAAATATTATGCAACAGATTGCCAAGTATAAGACCCTTGAGGCACTCTCTCTACCAGAAACCTTCTTCCAAGCTGACATAGATAGAGACCATTAATGACTACTCAGGGTTCAGACACATAGCTCGATCTGAATCTACCTAATTGTACTACTGAATCTCTCCATCTGGTCCACAGCAGCATGAGGAACTCTGCTGGTGCTCTGATAAACTCTAGTGACAACATTCTCCTGATGGAAGGAGAAGGGGAAGAAGAAGAAAGGAAAAGGAAAGGAAAAGAAGACCCATGTGGCTCCCCTGTTCATGATGAAGCCAAGCAGGCTGTCGTCAGTGCTTCCTTTTCTAGATATTCACAAATAGTCTCTTTACTGACAGATATTCTAGAATCCTGCCAGGAGTCAAAGCTAAGCTAACTAGTCTATACTTGTCTGACTCAATTACGTTTGCTTTTTTGAGCACCAGGACAACACGCACCTTGCTCCAATCCTGCAGTGCTTCTGCTAGGCTTCCAGGATGATGACAAAGGTGATGGGCCACTTTCCTGAGCTCTTCTTACTTAACCACATTAAAAATGCTGTGCTTAGGAAAACCCCTAAACCTCTAAACTCGACCCAGCTGAGATTCTCACAACTTCAAATATATTATCAGGCTTAAGTTCTTCCATCTCTGAAGACTGTGGAAGGGCAAGACTTCTTAATCTCTAGAATGCTTTCTAGAATTCCTTCTAGCAGCAGCATTAATGAACATGAATCACCCAAAGTGGGGAGTAGTCATCTGGCTTGACCAGCCTTAGAAGGTTCCCTGTCACACCACGGATGCGGGGCCCCAGGAACAGGAATGAAAGCCTATTTGGTATTTAAACCAGTCAACAACAAAAAGCTGCCTCAGCATCTCCCAGATACTTCCAACCATCGCCAATCATGCCTTCTTCCTCGGCCTGTGGCTGCACTGACCACTCACCTGAAAGAACCTGTGGATTTGCATTCATCCTTCCTCAGAGAACAGAGGCTCCATCTCCAGTGTCCCAATTTGAACTTTATTTTCCCTTTGGGGGAACAATGGCATATAACTGATGTATAGGTTAAGGACCAGGCTCTGATTCCACTTGCCACTTGTCTTGTGGAGCCATTACCCTGAAGGTGCCTAGGAAAGGGCTTTTATTTCTTTTTAACGTTTTAACGTTTAACTTGATAGTGGGTATACTTCCTGCTGCCATGCTCAATCTGCCTGCAGTTAATCATATACACTCATTACTATATTAGGGTAACAAAAAATTACACTAATTATGAAAAAAAAAAACCAACCCACGCTCTTTAATGGAAAAAGTATGAGGAAGAGAAACACATTCATTAAAAGTGCACTCCTTTTTCAACAACCATACGTACCCCAGCTCCAGTGAGAACAATGATTTTTTTGCACTCCTGCAACAACTTCACAGCATCCTCAATTGTATTAATATCTTTTCTCTTTTTCCTTTTTGGTGGTTCTGAAAGGATGTTTATAACAATCTGCCATAGTGTCATATCATCTAGTTCAGGTGGTGGGATTGTTTCTGGCAACAGATCCTTTAGGATGGTCCGAGGGTCTGTGCCAATCATGAGATGCTGCTGCACAAAAGTGTAAGGACCTGTGATTGTGAATGGAAAAGAAAATTGGATCAAGTCACTCTTCTAAAGACCTTTAATATGGTCAAAGTAACAATGAGATTTGTTTTTCAAGTTAAAAAATGCCATTTCAGTTAGAATCAACTCACTTTTAAGACACTCCCCAAACCCCCAAAAGATATCACTCACAGGCTTGAAATCTGACAGTCTCAACTTCAGCAATCAAGTGAGTCAAGACTACCTGCCAGAAGAGGCCCCTCCTAATATGAACTTAGGCTGCAACTGTCCACACAGAACTCCAGGAGGCAGCTAACGGAACCCCACGAACATCAGGCTCTTCTACCTACCTGTCGCTCTGTGCAGACTGTGAAAGGTGCACGGAAACGGTGAATCTTTGAGTCTTCCTATTTCGGTTGCCTCACACACAAATCTGTCTTTAAGTTAGCAGTTACAAATTTAAACTGAAAACTTACTATTCACTTATATGACTCTCATTTCTCAATAGCACCTTTAAAAATTTTTAACACTTTCTCTCCATTACCTCGTCCAATTTCTCAAATATTTTCAAACCTTATGATATTAAGAGACTACCACATACTAATACCTTCTTTTATCCCAGGAGGACAAAGCTCAAAGGACAAAAATCCCAAAGGGTAGCAATGTGCTACCAGGGCATCAGTTCCTAACTTGCAAGTCCCCAAATCAGGGTTAGTAAGGTTCTATAATCAGGTTCTGAAGACTCTTCTTGAGATAAGTACCAAGAGGAGATTGAGCTCAGCCAATTAAGGCACTTCTACCGCTTTCCTCCTGTATGGGCAAAGGGAAGAACCCAGTCAGGTGGGTACTCACTACTGTCCTTCCAAGGAGGGCTCTCTGGTGACCTGGAGAAGATAATAGCAATCCAAGACCAAGAAGGCTGAAGTGGACACTTCTGCAGTGTCAGGGCTAGAACAGACTGCAAACTCTATCTCCCTACTTTGTCTTTCTGAAGAACTTTGTTACTGACTGGGAGATACGGGAGATACTGGCACAGGACCGTCCAGCATGGTATCCTTGCAACAAAGAAGGCAGCAGCTCAAAAGAAATGTGAGATATGCACATTTAGAGGCAGCTCCACTCCAAACGTTCATTTGGACTATCTGTGCCCTACCCGTGGGAGAGCCTTCTGAGCTCACACTGGCCTTATCGGCCACAGTCGGACACGCTGTACCTTGATACCAACACGGTGAGGTCATTTTGGTCCTCTTCCATTAAGGACAACAGTGAACCCTGGCCAGTCCTTTCACTGTAACCAGGAGACACGGGTTCAAAGTCACTTAAATAGTTGGTGTTAGGGGCAGCTAGGTGGCCAGTGGATAGAGCACCGGCCCTGAAGTCAGAAGGACCTGAGTTCAAATCCGGCCTCAGACCAAACACTTGACACTTACCAGCTGTGTGACCCTGGGCAAGTCACTTAACCCCAACTGCCTTAAAAAAAAATAGCTGGTGTTGGAGAAGGGGCTAGACGCTCTGCCTCACATTCAGGCAGCCATGCCAGCATATATCTGGGATGGGCAAACAACAGATTTACTTCTGCACATTTAACCGCCTTGAAGAGAAGCCCCCTAGCCTTGGGGAGCCACTGAAAAGACTTCACAACAAACCAAAAAGGAGACCCCTGGAAATCAAGGTTACACTAGTTAAAAATGTCCCACTGGAGGACATCTTTCATGGCCCTGCCAGGGCAGCCTTTCAATGGAAACCAATGGGAACTTTTATAATGGCCACCAAGTAAACAATAGCATCCCCAAAGCTTCACCTGTTCGAGGTCTGGGAGTCCAGTCACTGGAGCTTGCGTGAGAGGCACGGTCATCCTCGTCACTATCACAGGAATGAAAGCCGTTGGCAAGAATTTCATCACTGAAGAGATTTTCTGCAAAACAGAGAGAAATAAATACCTTAGACACAGCCTACATCTCTAAAAAGGGGCAGAACAAAGGAAAGATATAGAATACTGGCTAAAGAAATGGCCTCCAAGTGCAGAAGACCTGGGTTCAGGTTCAGCCGGACAGATATGGCTCTGTGATGGTAGGTCACTTCTCAGTGCCAAAGGGAATTCTCTAAGTGAAAAACTTAGCAAACAATCTACAGAGGAAATTTCCTCCAGCTGCAGCCAGAAATCACAGGATCAAAAAGAAAGTATGACATCTCATTAAGGATCCATTATGACTAGCTTCAAAAGTACACGGACTCAAAAACTGTATTTACTGGAAGCAGCTAGTGGAGGAGTATATGAGAGTACTGGGCCTGAAGTCAGGAAGACGAGAGTTCAAATCCAGCTTCAGACGATGACTAGCTGTGTGACCCTGGACAAATCGCTTAACCTATTTGCTTCAGTTTTCTCATCTGTAAAATGAGATAACTGTAAAAAGTGCTTGACATACAGTAGGCACTACATAAATGCTCATTCCCTTCATCTTCCCTACTTCAATTAATATTTCAAATTACTTATTAAGTGTCTATTTGCAAGCCATTGTGATAGACACTGGAGATACGTAGACCAAAAAATCAGTACCTATCTTCAGGGGGACAACATTTGTAGCTAGGTAAATACAAACGACTTCTAAAAAAGCAATTTTATCCATGTTCTCACTCTCCCAAGGCAGACTGTAGCTCCAACAAAACTAAGAGTTTCTTGAGTTAGTAGCTAAAAATCATTAATAACCTGGGGACCGACCTCCTTACTGGTCCTTAGCTGCAAGATTCTGTTCTGTGCCTCACCTGTTGGCAACCCATGGCCATCTCCTCATTACAACGAGACATAGTGAAAGGACTTCAAATCAGTTCTTTACTATATTTTAAATTAGTTTAGATCAGCATCATTGTGTTTTCATTCAAAACATTCTAGATTCCCAGAGATTAGCAATCCACCTACAGAATCTAATTTAGTGCAAAAAAAAAAAAAGCCATTGATAAATTTACTAAAACAGGATTGTTCATCAAACATGAGCCCTTTGGACCACAAGCAGGCTTTCAAATAAATGTAAACCAAATAATAGTTAATTCACCAACTTGCTTCCTTCATCTCGAAAGTATCTGTTATCTATCGATCTTACCTATGTAGCTAGAAACCCTTCATAGTAATAGCTAACATTTACATAGCATTTACTAAGTGCCCAGCACAGTGCTATGCATTTTATTACAATTATCTGATTCAATCGAAAAGACAACCCCGGGAGCTAGGTGTTACTCATTATTTCCATTTTACAGTTGAGGAAATTGAAGCAAACAGAGTTTAAGTGATTTATCCAGGGTCATACAGCTAGTAACCCTTCAGTTCAAAAGACAACAGCATCAAATGATTAGATGGTAACTTGCTAAATGATGCCAACAGATGCTGGTCAATACCAGAAGTAAAAGGTGGTACGTGAACTGACTTACCACAAACTATTCATTCTTCTTCTACTCTCCCAAAAAAAGGAGAATATCTAACAATAAGGACCACTCATTTTTTAATAGTGTTTTTTGGTTTACAAAATTCTAGTATCTAGCTGAAGATGCTATGCAAGAATAGGATTAGAGAAGGGAAAGGAGTCCTTCAGTTTGGCATTCAGTTATCTTCCCCACATTTCTTAAACTTCAAGGATCGTTCCTTGGGGTAGGTACGCCCTCACCTCTCAGACTCAACCACTTTGTATGCGAGTTGCTGTGGCCAAAATATTCACGGCTCTGCAGTCCACCTGGTGAGAAGTTTCTCCCAGGTCCAGTGGGACACCAAGCCTTTCCAGTTTGACACAACCCGCCAGGGCTTATGATCCCCTTGGCACCAACTTGGAGAGCCCAGGGTCACCTCCAAACCAAGAGGAGACATCAATTTACCTTACCCACAACTCTACCTCTATTTACAGCAAGAAACTGCTACATCTCTTTCCATGAACCTGTCTGGCTTTTGGAAAGCAGAGTCCAAAAAAATAAACGATGGCAATACAACTTGAGCCGCTGAAAAATCAGAACTAGAAACGAACAGGCAGTAAGAGTGGCTGGTTCTCCAGACACTCCCCCCTCCCTGTCAAGCAGCCCGGGCTCAGGCTCTGCAGAAAAGCAAGCCCCTCCACAAGGGGAGGTGAGTTTATAGAGGGCGTGGGCGGTGGGGGGAGCGAGAGGGGCAGGGGGATGGACATCCCGGCCAAACAAGCCCCCTCCGGGCAGCGCAGTCCCGACACAGAATAAATACAAACGCCTCCAAACCGGGATCCCCGAACACGGGTGATCCTGCAGAGCAGGAGAAGCAAGTCACTTGGAGGGGAGAGATTGGGTCGGGGGTAGATAAGCGGGAGTGATAAACGGGGCCGCGATGAACCCCAGCCCGGGAGGGGGGGATACACTGGAGTGACCCCACTGCCAAGAGAGCGCGGCGGGAGGGCTCCAATCAACCCGGCCCGGGTTAAGCCGGGGGAGAGCTTCATTAGCCCGGGCCCAGGGTCACGGGCTGAGGGCAGACCTCAGGGCCCCCCGCCGCTCGGACGCGCTCCGGCGGCCCGGGGTGAAGGCCCGGCCCGGCCCGGCCCCCGCCTCCCCTCGGCCCTCCCCGCCTGGCCGGCCCCGGGGGGCGGTGCGCAGTCGCGGCCGCCCGGACCCTGCGCACCTCGGTAGCCAATCGCCGCCGCCGCCTCGTCCTCGTCCTCGCCCCCCTCTTCCTCCTCCTCCGCCTCGTCGTCGTCCTCGTCGTCGTCGTCGTCGTCCGGCGGTGGCAGCGGCGGCGGCTCCCGGGGCAGGCCCCGCAGGCCCCGCGGGCCTGGCCCATTGTCCCCGCCGGGGGCGGCCGCGTCCGAGGCCTCCCCGAGCAGGGCGGCCGCCGCCTCCGGGCCCGGGCTCCCCGCCCCGCCGGCCCGCTCCGCCCCCGGCCCCGGGCCCGGGCCGTCCCTGCGCTGCCGCTTGCTGAGCGGCTCCCCGCCGGGCTCCGCGGGACCTCCGCCGCCCGCGCCGGGCTCCAGCGTGAGCGCCACCTCGTCCGCCATCTTCAACCGCCTCCCGCCCGCCTGGGCCTGGGCCTCGGCCTGGGCCTGGCCTCGGCGCCGCCTCCGCCGCCCGCGCTCCGCCGCCCGCCCCCGCCCACCCGCTCGGCAGACGCGCAGCAGCAGCTCTGGCGCCCCCGCCGCGCCGGCTGCGGGAGATTTAAACCCCCGTCACGTGACCCGCGCCGCCTGGCCCCGCCCCGCCCCTCCCGGCCCCTCCCCTCCCTCCCCCTCCCGGCCTGGCCACTACTGACACCCACGCGGGCCGGGACCACAACAAAATGGGTCACGTGGCCCGGCGCAAGGCCGCGCGGGGAGGGGGAGAAGGGGCGGGCGGGGCGGGGCGGGGCTCCGGCTTCGGGCCGGCCCGCGGGCGCGCGCGCGCTGGTCCGGGCCTGCCCGGCGTGTGCCTGGCTCGCGCCGTCCGCCTTCTTTCCCTCCCGCCCACCAGCTTGGCCGGAGGTTGGGGAAGGGATGAGAAGCGGCCCGTCGCCTCCGACCCCGCTCGCTCGCCTATCCCTTGCCGGAGCTCAAGTTGGGTCTTGTTTCCCCGAAGGGGGACAGTATGTGCCCTGGTGCCTGCTCGGAGCATGTCCGACCTCAAGTGGAAAAAGAAGAAAAGGTCGTTTCAGCTTCCCTCCCTGCGCTCCTACTACGTGCATCCCTGAACTGCCCGGTCCTGGAACGCGTCTGCTCCAGGAGCCGTGCCATAGGGCAGGCACAAAGCCCCAAAAGGCCTCAAAGCTGTGCAGTGTGCGTTGTTCAGGGCTCCAGCGGAAGAGATGTGATTGCACCGATCGCTGTTTGCACCCCCAGCCCTGCTCCCGGGGGAAAAGGAATTCTGGGCTCCAATAACAGGGATACGCAGGATAGTCTGTGCGCACCATGCAAAATATGAGGATGAAGACCTCACTCCGGCCTTCCTGCAGCTTGCAAGTCTAAGGAGGGCAAAGTGCAAAGATCAATAATTGCAAATGAGTATCCAAAAAACACCTAATGAATGCATTAAACAAGTGCACACAGGGTACTGGGTGGAGATTAGAGGGTTGGGAGAATCGGGGAGGGCTTCCAGGAGGAAGTGCTAAGTGAGCTGTGCATTACAGAATGGATGAGAATTGAACAGGTAAAGGACACATTCCTGCCCAAGGAAACCACCGTGAGAGCCAAGGCATTGAGAAATGAGAGTACGGGGTGATTTGGGAAGGGGGGAAGAAAGGAGGCTGGAGCATAAGAGGACAGTGATTGTTGGGCAGAGGAGGGAGGAGACCATATCTATCTAACTATGGGAAAGACTTCTGGCCATCCTGTGAAGGATGGATTAGAAGAGGAGAAAGCAGAGGCTGAAAGGCTGTAAAGAAGCAGGTCCAGGCACCAGATAAGGAGTACCTATCCTAGGGTGGGGGCTATGGAAATAAAGATAGTCTACAAGTCCTGCCAAGCTGAAAGTGCTTCAAGTACCATCCTGAAAGGAGAGACCATGTGTTCACAGTCGCAGGAGTAGCCTAGCTTAAATGGTATCACCAGGAGCCTGACAACCACCAGGAGTTGATTGTTTTTAGCACAGTAACTCAAAACCATCTCCTTCAGTGTGGTGGGAGAGACATTGCATGGTACAATGAAAAGACATGGATTGGGAGGCAGAGGACTTGGTCACTTAATGTTTTCATGACCTTTCTCTACTCTGTGAAAGAAGGGGCTGGAATAGATTGAGCTCTGAGGTTGCTTCCAGCTGGAAATCTGGGATCTCATCATTGCCATCTGCTTCAGTGGAGAGAGAATCAACATGGATGAAATCTCAGGGTTTTTGACGTGTTGAAAAAGGACAATACGGTATAAATGCTGTGTTCAGTTACGAGCCTAAATTTCCTTTTTTTCCTTTGTAAGTTTGATTATACGTATTTCCTAAAAAAACAAAAACAAAAAACCCCTCCACATTTGCAAAAGACCAGAGGATTTAAATAATGGAAAGGATTTTAGGGCCTGAAAAGAAGGGTTCTTAACCTAGGGTTCATGGTTCAATTTCAAGGGATCCATGAACTTGTGTCCATAACACCGAGGGTCAAAGTCCTCTCATCTAGATGAACCGCTTCAATTTACAGAGGAAGAAACTGAGGCCCAGAAAGGAGAAGTGGTTTACAGCATGGGGCAGTGGAAAGGTGGCTAGATTTGGGACCAGAAGTACTAGGTTGCAATCCTGCCTTGGGCAAGTAATGCCTCTGTGACCTGGCATAGGTAATCTCAGCCCTCTGGGCCTCAGTTTCCTCCTCTGTAAAATGAGGCAGTTGTATTAAATTACCTCAAAGGTCCCTTATATTATACCTAAATCTATGATCCTGTGATAGTAAAATAACAGTATGTAATTAACAAGTCATTAAAGTTTTATAGCAAGTTCCCTGAATCCTATTCTTGAGTGTTTTGTAAGAACAAGAAACAGTATGGAACACTAATGCATTGTTGGTGGAATTGTGAAATGATCCAACCATTTCAGAGAGCAATTTGGAACTATGTCCAAAGGGCTGTAAAAATGTGCATACCCTTTGACCCAGCAATAGCCCTTTTAGGGCTATATCCCAAAGAGGTCATACAAATGGGAAAAGGGCCCACATGTACAAAAATATTTATAGCAGCTCTTTTTGTGGTGTCAAAGAATTGGAAATTGAGAGGATGCCCAACGATTGGGGAATGACTGAACAAGTTGTGGTATATGAATGTAATGGAATACTATTGTGCTATAAGAAATGATGAGCAGGCGGACTTCAGAAAAACCTGGAAAGACTTGTATGGTCTGATGCCGAGTGAAGTGAGCAGAACTAGGAGAACGTTGTAGGCAGTAACAACCATATTGTGAGATGATTAATATTGATAAACTTAACCCTTCCCAGCAATACAAGGATCTAAGATATTTGCATAGGCCTCATGATGGAAAATGCTATCCATATTCAAAGAAAGAACTATGGAGTTTGAATGCAGATCGAAGCAGACTATTTGCTGTTTTTTTTCTTCTGTTGAGTTTTGTTTCCTCTTTCTGGTGGTTCCTCCTATTGGTTCTAATTCTTCCTTACAACATCACTAATGTGAAAACATGTTTAATAGGAATGTATATGTATAGCCTGTATCAGATTGTGCGCCGTCTTGGGGAGGGTGATGGGGAGGAAGAGGGAGAAAAATTTTAAACTCAAAAGCATATGGAAGTGAATGTTGATAAATCAAAATAAATTAATTTAAAAAAAAAAGAACAAGAAACAGTGGTCTAGTTCCTGGGCAAATCAATATCCCAATACATATTCTCAACTCATCCCAGATAGCCACTTCTATCCCAATCAGTTCAAGTTTAGGTAGGAATCCAAAGTTTCTAATCTTGCTTAAATCTAAAGAGAAGGATGGGTCTTGTTCAAGATTAAAGCTTATTAACATGATATTGCTAGCATTTTGTTATATACCAGGCACTGTGCTAAATGTTTTATAATTTTTGTGGTTTTTTTTTTTTTTTTTGGATCCTCATGACAGCCCTGGGAGGTAGATGTTCTTTTTTTTTTTAATTTTTAAAAAATTATTTATTTATTTGTTTGTTTGTTTTGCGAGGCAGTGGGGTTAAGTGACTTGCCCAGGGTCACACAGCTGGTATGTGTTATGTGTCTGAGGCTGGATTTGAACTCAGGTCCTCCTGAATCCAGGTAGATGTTCTTCTTATCCCCATTTTATAGGAAACTGAGGTTAAGTGACTTGCCCAGAATACCACAGCTTGTTAAGTATCTGAGGGCACATCTGAATTCAGGAGTCAGGAACAGCAGGCTGGCACTCTACTTCACCACCTAGTCTCCTGACCAAGACTCAACTCCACAGTGGAAGGCATAATATTTTGTTTCCTTAAAAGTTAAAGGATTAGAGATAAAAGAAAGCAAAATGTTCTTTCCTAGTTCTTCTCCTGTGTCTCCTCTCAGCCTGACCAAGGATCTGGACCTTTAAGCTAGGCCTCTATTTCCATCTGTCACCTTAAACTCACTATTAGTCCCTGCTGTACTATTGGGGGGGCCTCTTGGTAAGTCATTTCGTCTTCTTGGACCTCAGTTTCTTCCTGTGTAAAATGAAGCGATTAGACTAGATGGGTTCCAATATCCCTTCAAACTCTAACAATAGGATTCAGTGGCCAAAGTCAGAGTCATTGTTGTCCCTCCTAATGTGGCCTCTTTCCCAACATTCCCATTTTTGTCAGTCTGGTACTACTACCATTCTCCCCAACACAGCGCTTTGGCATCATCTTTGAATCTTCCTTCTTGTTCCCATTCCCTGGCTATCATAAAGTCCTGTACTTTCTTCCTTTCGAACATCTTAATTTAACAGACATTAAATGCCTACTATGTGCAGAGCACTGAACTAGGTAATAGGGTTAAAAAGACAAAAATAAACCAGTCCCTGCCCTCAAAAAGCTTAGCAGCCTGGTTTTGGGAAATACCAATGGTATTGATATTGGGGAAGACTTATTCGGTTGGTTGTTGGCCTTCTTAATCAAAAAGAACCAAAATGACATCACTATGTTGGGGTTAAGTGTGTTTGACCGTGGCAGATCAGACCAATAGGAGCTAAGAAAACTTTCGCTCACGTTGGGCACAAGTAGTCTGTCTGTTTGAACATTTGGAGTGGAAATGTCTCTAAATTTGCACATCTTATTTTTCCTTTCAGCTACCACAATTCTGTTTCACTTGTAGAGCCCAGCACCTTCTTTGATGCGGACGGTCCTTTGCCTGAGAGACCTGGAGAGTGTTCTTGTATCATTTCTCCTGACCACTGTGTGAGCACCTGCCTTGCATGAGTTCTCTGTAAAATAGTCTTTTAGGCAAATGTGTGTTTGGCATTTCAACAATGTGGCCAGCCAATCAGAGTTGCAGTCTCTTTAGAAGAGTGTCAATACTTGGCAGTTTAGCTCAGAAAGGACCTCGGTGTCTAGTACCTTATTTTGCCAGGTGAACTTCAGAATCTTCCCAAGACAATTCACATGGAAGAAA